TTTTTTTTTTTACCTGTGTTAATTATTTTATTGGTAGCAGTTGCCACCTTGCCCTTCAGCAGGGAGTTTAGCAGTTTAACCAGCAGTATCAGGCAGCTGCACAGGACTAGTAAGGAGCAAATCAGGAGGATCAGACCAATGGCTAAGTCTGACAAAGTGCAGTCCACAAACAGATGCCTGCCTGAGCAGACACAGAGGTGATGAGAAACAAACATAAAAAAAAACATCAATCTAGTGAGTTAACAAATCATTTCTTTTGCATTTCATGTTTGTGCTCTGTTGTTGAATGAAAAGTTAAGTGTTGTCAGTAAAAGACACAGAGATAAAAATGGAAGAAGAGCTACATTAGTATGCCTAATGTGAAAAAAAAAAAAAAAAAGAAACTGACAAAACTGCGTACATTTTCGTGTTTGTTCTGAAAAGTTGTGTGTTCCATATGATGTGTCATTGTCCTGAAACAACAAATAAAAAGACTGAACTCATGCAAAGAGATAATGGGACATATTTATGAAAATTATCAATAAAATACCATTTTACTTTTTGCTTAATCTGCATTATGCTTGTTTAACTGATTATATGATTTAGCACACTAAAGGAGTAAAACGCAATTATAGGAGAAACTTACAGCAGAGTGCCAAGAAGGTATTTCCATAATCGTGTTGAAGGGTGAAGTTTGACACCATTTCTTCACCAAACTCTTGTTCTGTTCACTTTCTCCTGTTGCTATGGCTGTAATGACTGATTTATCCAACTACAAAACAGAATGTAATTAAATTTTAACTCACTGAATACATGTAGTGGTTTCCTGCTGTCCACAAACAAAATAGACTTTTCTGCACAAAAGTTGTTTCTTCTTTTTTTATGTTTATAACAAAGTAATGTGCAACTGTGATTTAGAGTTATCTGATTTTTATTCTTTAACATATTTTTCTTTAATAACGTGTATCCAAGGTGCTTCTGGCTGCAGTGAAACTAGAATGATTGCACAAAATCAGTTCAACAAGTAAGCTTTTGATTTAGAAATTATGCATAATCCACTTAATAGGTGATGTTTTCAGACTTGTTCTCTAAATATATTCTTCACTAGTATGAACGAATTCCACCCAATGATTATGAAGACGTTCTTGTTTGCTTTATAACTACTACCAGATTGCAACAGGATTGTTATCATTATTAAAAAAGTATTTGTGTTCTTTGGGTCTTTACTGTAAGTAATTTGACATGCACAGTACCTGTATTATCAACTTAGTCAGGGGCTCAGTGAGAACTTTGAGAAGCTCGGGTGCATCTTCTCCATTACTGAGCTGCAACATGTTGACTGCAGCTTGTGACAGACGTCTCAAAAGGCCGCTCACTGCTTCCAGTGGGAGAAGCACCAGTACAGACAACCAGTTAAAGCAATCATGAACTGTTGCTCCAGCAAATGCCCTGGATTAAGAACAATTTTGGAGTCTGTTCATGCACAAAAATACCCATATAAACTTGTGCACAGTAGAAAAGCATGTACCGTTCAAACTCCTCTCTCTCACTAGCTTGCATTAGGGCAACAATGGTGTTGGTGACTGATGTTCCAATATTTGAGCCCATGATGATGGGAATGGCTGACCTCACATCCAGCACTGTAAAAATGAACCAACAAAAATAAATAGGAAGTGAGATAATGTGGTGGTCTGTTTACAAGATCTTGCTAAGTCTTACTATTTATTATCAGAAATTAGTAGTTTAACTCACAACCAGAAGACACAAGGCTGACTATTATGGACGTAGAGGTGGAGGAGCTCTGAACCAACACGGTCACCAGTATCCCAACCACCAGCCCAGCCACTGGGTTAGACAGGATAGCGTTTTCCTGGAAGATATTCCCAGCTACTCTGCCTAAAAGGAGACAAAAAGAGAAAAAGACAAACAGCAAATAAAAAATAAAAAAAAGCTTTAAATGATAAACTAAAATAATATAGTTGTGCTTACCTCCAGCTAATTGGAAAGCAGAGCTTAAAACATCAAGGGAGCACACAAAGATGTAGAGAAGAAGAAAGAGGAAGGGGATTTTGAAGAGAGTCAAAACCATCTTTTTTACTCTCTGCAGTCCAGACAGAGCCTTCATGGTCAGAACTACAAAAACAATGTGATACATAATTTACACCAAGCCTTTGCAAAGCGAGCATGAGCTGTACATTTTGTTACAAAAAAGTAAAAAAATTACCTCAAACAAGTGTTCCAGGTGTGTAATCTCTACAAATAAAAGTACAACTTTGTCCAGACAGTATTGTTAAAGTACCTCAGGATTTAAAGAATCTGTGATTTTTGTTTCAGTAAAAAAAAAGAGGGAACCTTAATGTGTCATTTTTCACAGTGACAGAAAATTAGACAAGAAGAATGAAAAACGTGAGAGAAGTGTGTTCGAGAAAAGAAAGGGAGGTACCCGTGTAGTGAAGATTAACTTGATTAGTAAAGCGTAGATGGGAAGTTTAATGGAAAGCAGTCTCTCTCTCATTTACTTTTTCTTTGCATCTTTATTCATTATCTATGTGCAGAATAATACCTAATTTTCCCAGTTTAATATTTTCTTTAGACAGAATTTTTTTTTATTTAATACCAGTATACATTGCGTTACATAAAAATAATATAGTTTAGTAATTTGATTATTCTTATCTATGAATTCAACTGTATGTTTTTTTTTTTTTTATCCAAACAGAATAGCATCATTTAATGGTCGAGAATTAAACCCAAAATAGCCAGGAATAAATAAAGTGGCTTGAGAGCAGAAGTTAAACGTTATTAACAAAATGCATACATATTAAAAAAAAAAAAAAAAAAAAGTAAAAAGTACGTACGTAAAAATATAACATGTACTTGATGCATAAAATGAAGCCAACATAACTCAGATGTTATATAAATGAAAACAATAGTTTTACATTAAGTAACAAAAGCTTTAAAATAAAATGTTAACATTTTGTATGTTGAGACAAAGGGAAACGCCAAATTCTTGTGAAGAGAGGAATCTATCCAAGTCCTTACAGTATTCATGGAAAATAACAAAAACACAACCCAACACTGAACCCCTCATTGCCTCAGATGTGTGTCCCATCGGTGAATAAACGTGATAAAGCACTGATTATTATTTGTATAGATCTAGTAGAGTGCTGTATGAATGGGTAAATGAGGACACAGATTGTAGTGTAAAGCACTTTGAGTATATTGATAAGATACAAAGGCTCTATATAAGTGCAGTCCATTTACCATGTAGGTGCCGAGATCCTGAATGGCACTTTGTGTGTCCTTTATTGATCCATGGACACATTTAAGCTTTACTTTTGGCTACATGTTGCTGCCTCTGTTTGCTTTTGAAGGGGCTGCAAATCTCTTCTCATGGCTCTCTCTGTCCTACATCCCCCTCTGGTGGTCAGTTATGCATAAAAAGGTATTTTAAAACATGTCAGGTGAAAAGACTTTCAAGTGCTTTTAAGCTATTAATAGTTTTTCACCTGAAAGCAAACAAAATTAAAAATATATATTTGTATTTGTCATGACATATTTGATTTTTTTAAACCACAATCAGTACCCTAACTCAAAAACAAATCAGTGCGAACAAACTTTTTTTTTTTTCATTTTTGCAAAATGACGGCACAGTGCCTCAGTTGGTATCTATTACCTTTCAGCAAAATGGTCACTGGATCAAATCCCAGCTGCGGGGCCTTTCTGGCTGGAGTTAGCATGTTCTCTCGGTTTCCTCAACAGACCAGAAACATGCATGTTAGGCTGATTGGTAACTCTAAATTGTCCTTAGGTGGAAGTCAGAGAGTAAATGGTTGTTTGTCTCATTTGTCTCTGTGTCCCTGTGATTGACTGTCCGTCTCAGGGACAGGCACATGGCAGTTATGGCTGGATATGGGCACCAGTGACCCCTGCGACCCAGAAAGAAAGAAGTGGGTAAAGATGATGGACGGATGAACCTGTATTTAATTTTAGCTTTTGAAAAATGTGTTTCAGTCTTTTGATCTAAGGTTGTGATAAGTGTAAAAAGTCAGTTATTATTATATTATAATTAGATTTATATTTGATTAATTTCACCATACAAACTGAAACACTAATGCTTAATGAATTAATGCAATTCCTATTGCAGCCAGACTTTGGCGTTTTGTTGGAGTTATATTATTTCTTCTGATTTAAAAAAAAAAAAATTTTTTTTTTTTTTGCTTTGCGCAAATAAAAAAAGACTGATTGTTTGCATGTTGCATATTTTTGCTCAGCCTGATGAAGAACTTGTTCATTCTGAGCCCCTCATTGCCAAAGTCAATGAAAGATGATTTTCATTCTACATGAACCCAAGCACGTAAAAACGGGAACATGTCTTAAATAAAATATGGCTTCAATTTATAAACTACTAACTTATTTTATATCTCAACGATCATTCCTTTCTTCTGATAGCACACCAATTTTGTTACATCGTGTCCAGTTGGGAACATGTTTTTTTTATCTGCATGCTTTAGTTTATTCAGGTCTAACGTGATTTTCTCCATCTTTGCTGCATGTGCCAAATGTATCCTTACATCTTTCTAACCTATTGACAAAGGTGGTCACACAGTTTGTGTGTCTGTACACAGCAGGCTGCATGTGTGGACACAACAGGCTGCATGTGTGGATACAACAGTCTGTATGTATAAGGGAGACCCAACAGCTTTGAAAGAAACATTCTGACCAACAACCCCGTCACTCAGGTGATTCTGCATTACCGTGTAAGAACACACTACTCCTCTGATATGTCTTTATGTATGTAGGAATTACATAAAAATATGGAGGAGATAATGTTTCATACCAAAATGGTTTTAGTCCAGATGCAAAAGACTTTTGAAAGGAGGTTTGAAGTATTAAATGGTTGAGCTGTTTGTGGCGAATGAGGTGATGTCGCTGTTTTGTTTTTCTTGCATGTCAAGGTTGTCGAAGTGGTTTTCAGTTCTCCTCCTGCAGGCTTCTCTCATGCCTCTTTGTAGTACTGACCTGGTGGTGCTGTATTTGTGATTTCTAATTTGAATTATGCCCATAATCATTGTTTGATTTAGAAAGATATGCGACCTCAGAGAAACCAGTGAACCTCCCATCCACCATCCAACGACTGATACTGTTTTTTTTTGTTTTTTTTTTACCCTAGAAATGGGTTTTATTGACTAATAATGTTTTCTAATGTATTGGTAATAAATTATTAGTGTGCCTGATATCCTTAAAAGATTGAATTATTATTATTAATAATAATAATAATAATGATGCATTTTATTTGTCCACGCCTTTCAAACACCCAAGGGCACTTCACAATGTTAAAAACACAAAATAAAACAATACAAAATGGCTATGAAAATAACAAAAAATGAAAGTGAGAAGGCTAACTTGAACAGATGAGTGAACTGGTTTATTCTCATTAGTGTCTGTTTACAGTGGCAGAAGCTGTGACCGGTCCAAAGGTTCAATGATAATGAAAACTAGAATTTATTGTATGTGCAGAGGACTGAGATCAACAATTAAACGCTGCTAAATCCACATGCTGTGCCATTAAAATGATAGTTCAGCTATTCGGATGCTGAGATTGTGGGAGTACTGTGAACTTTTGAGTGACATCAGCACTGGGATCCCCTTCCAGGTGCTTTGAATGAAATGGAATGGTTGGCCCAGATCCATGCCAGCCTTGAAGTTTGCGCTGATAAATCTGAACGTTATCAGCCCCGGAGAAGGTCTTCAAACCAGGAAGTACTCAGTGTGCTTTTGGAAAATGAGATTTTTTTTCATTCAGTTCATTTATATATATATATGCACACACACATATTCATATTCATATATATATATATATATATATATATATATATATATATATATATATATATATATATATATATATATTCTTCCATTTACTGGTACTTTTCGATTGTCTACCGTTATCATCCGTGTTCTTTGTTTAAAACAGGTCTCTCTTGTAAATGAGTCCCCGAGGCTCAATGAGACGAACCTGTATAAATAGGTTGAATTGAATTTAATAAAGTTCATTTATGTTGCCACAAATACACTTTACATCTGAGTGACAAAGATTTAAAAGATGATTAATATTGTTTTCTTTGTTTTATTCAGGGGCAGCTGTGGCCGAGTGGTTAGAGCAGCAGTTGTCCTCCAGTGGGTGTTGGGGGTTCAGTTCCACTAGAAAATTAAACTAAATGTTGAAGTGTCCCTGGGCAAAACACTGAATCCCTCATCGACTCCGATGCGTGTCCCATCAGTGTATGAATGTGATTTAAAAGCACCGATTAGTCTTTGCAGAGATCTAGTAGAGCTCTGTGTGAATGTGTGGAGATGTCCATTACCATCTGGCTTTTTTTTTTCGTAGTGTTTTAGTAACCATTATTTTTGCTTTAAGTGGGCAATGAATAATACATTTCCCATTTTGTGAGCTTTAATTTGATTCTCAAAAGGAGGAGTTATAAAGGGAATAAATTAATTGATCTGCTTCCTGATAAATTCAATTTTATTTTAACATATTAACCTCCATATTGATAGGTCACTGTGAACTGGCAGAATTAAAATACAATGTTCTACTTTTTTATAATATTATTTTGATGCGACTATAAGAAGACAGCAAAAAGTTCATGGTCTGTCATCCTTTTATTTTGTTATTTGTTTCTGGGAAATCCTGGAGAGCTGCTTCTTTTCCACAACTTCCCGGTGTCTCTGCCTGGAGCTGATATGATGGCTGTAGGGTGAAGGGGACGCTGGCTGAAATGTAATCAGGACATCAATTTTTTTTTTTTTTTTGCTGAGACGTTTCGTCCGTCATCCAAAGGACTTCTTCAATCTGAGGAGCCACCAAACACACCAATTCCCACAAACGGCATACTCCATAGTTGCAAAAAAAAAAAACCCACTATGGAGTGCACCAAGTATCCAAACTTTGGAACAATTGTTCCATTTTATATCTTTGTATGTCTGATAAAAAATATTTAAATAAATGAAGAAAAGCCATTAAATGGTGAAAAAAAAAAGAAAATAATTTTTTTCATCTGACCTATAGGCCACATACAAATAAGACTTCACAATTTATATTAAAATATGCCTTACTAACTGTACTACTTTCTTTTTCTTGACACAACAAAATAAATGTATCTGTCACACAACATTTAAAAACTCAGCTCCTGTGGTCCATCTGGACGGTCCTCTTTGATCAACTTTTTAATCCTGTCAGCATCCATGAGCTGTTGGCATCGCTGCAAGTCTTAAAACTCAAAGTGTAAATACATTTTTTTTTAAAGATCAATGTGTTTTTACATTTAAAATATTTTCTTGTCTGGATACAAATCAGCACTAGATAGGGAAAAAAAATTAAGACTTTACAGCAAATGAGAAAAAAAAATTCAATTATAGAACTTCAAAACTCAAAGTTTACCAAATCGACTGTTTATTCAAGAATTGTTTCACTTTTCATTTTAAATCATCAATACATGCCCAACATTTTCATTTGAAACTGAAGTATAAAATTCTGTACGGTTTACATTTGATACAAAAGCCTAAAGTTTAAACGTTACTCATAACAACCACCTTATTCTATGTACTGAATGGTGTTGACACAAAATATTCCAATATTTTTGTTAAAACAGCAGAAAGTGGTCTCACTGCAAAGTCAACGAGCATTTTGAACAGAAAGATTGGAGCTTTTACAACTGCTGTGCATGGACCCACTGACGTGCTTTAGACAAAATATTGAATGTAACACTAAAGATTTTTTAAACTTTTTCCCCCTATTTTGAACAAAATGTGCACAAACTGTAAGCTGAGTCATTTGTTTCAAGTCTGAGTGCTGAACTTTCTGACCAGAGATGCTTCTTCAGTCTTTTCCTCGTCTTCTGCTTCCCTGGTGGTGTAAGGCAACTTTTGACAACATCTGCAGAAACGAAGGAATGCAAACTTATCCACCAGCAGTAAAATACAAGTTAGAACACCGGCTGATTTTCACCTTTTACCTAAGCAGGGGGAAAAAATATTAAAATTGTGTAAAAACATTTTTTAACCTTAATCTCTCTGGTGTGATGGTTTCAGTATATGATAATGTATGATGAATTTGGTGCTGCTCTTCTTCATAGCTCCATCTACAATGTGCAATAAAAACTAACAACAAAACTGTTCCATAGATAATGATGCCACCACTGCCAAGAATACCAGTTGGTGCTGACTGGGCAAATGCTTCAAGTTTTATGCCTCACATTCTTGTATTACTGTATTTGTTATATTTCCCTTTTAGCCAATTCGCTAAGCTGTATACACATACAGTAAACATGAAAAAAACAATAATTAGAAAGTGTAATTTCAACAAGTTATTTGCATTCTGTTGTGTTTTTAAGTATTCTCTTCTGATGCTATTGTTACTTCATGTTGCCAGAGGGCATTGTTGTCACAGTACAAGGTGAAAGATTGTGTTAAAGAAAAGAGTAAAAAAGAAAACAAGACAATGCCATGTTCCGTCTGTCGTAATGGCACAGCTACAGTACGGTAATGAATTTTTTCAGAGTTTAACTGTTACTCATTTCATAATCACCACAACACATTTCTTCACAGAATGCTTGACGTTGCATAAATATTTTTGTTGGGGTCAAAACACTGAAATTTCCAAACTGGTCAAATTATTCTTTAATTGACCTTTTTATTATCCATCTGTATTTATCTTCTTTCAACTGTTCCCATTTCAGGGGTCTCCACAGCAAATCATCCTCTTCCATCTAACCCTGTCCTCGGCACCCTCTGCCCTCATTCCAACTACCTCCACATCCTTTCTCTTAAGCCTTCCTCTTTGAATGTTTCCAGGCAGTTGCATTTCTAACGTTCTTCTACATCTCTATATTTCTACATCCATCCATCTATCCATCCATCCATCTCTATCTATCTATATCCACTGTCCTTCCTCTGGACATGTCAAAACCATCTCAAACTGGCCTCTCTAACTTTATCTCACAGTTCTTCAACATGTGCTGTATAGCTGATTATCTCATTCACAGTCTTATTCATCATAGTCTCTCCTGAGGAGAACTTCTATATCTTGATTTCAGTCACTACTAGTTCCATCTCCCGTTTTTTTGTCAACAAACCAACATAGCTGGTCTCATTCTCTTATAAACCTTTCCTTTGACCTTAGCTTGCACCCTTTGGTCATGCATCACTTCTGAAACTTTTCTCCATCCACTCAATCCTGCCCGGACTCTCGTCATCACCTCTTCACTACACTTCCCATTTTCCTGGGCAGTCGACCCCAACTACTTGAAGTCCTGCACCTTTGTGACCTCTGCTCCTTGTAGCCTCACTGTTCGACTGGCCTCCCTCTCATTCACACGTGTACTCTGTTTTGATACAGCAGACTTATTCATCTTCCTTCAAGTGCATACACCCAACTCTCCAAGGTATCTTCCCTGCGTTCTCACAGATCAAAATGTCTTATACAAACAGTCCACGGGGATTCCTGCCTGACCTCATCTGTTAGTCGGTCCATCACCAGAGCAAAGAAGAAGGGGCTCAGAGATTATCCTTGATGCAATCCCACCTCCACCTTGAAGCCATCTGTCACTCCTACAGCACATCTCATCACTATCCTGCTGTCCTCATACATTTCCTATACCAGTCTAACATACATCTGTCACTCCATATTTCCTTATAAAAAACACCATAGATCAAACTGCCTTCTTCATCCTCTTCAAAGCTTTCCAAACTTCATCCTCACTAATCTTTGCAATCTTCTTGTCCACAGTTTCTATGATCTCCACTCTTCTTTCATTTTCTTCATTCATTAGCTCCTCAAAGTACTCCATCCTCCTTTGCATCACAGTCTCCCCACTTGTTAGATCATTACGGTTTCTATCTTTAATAAGCCTAACCTGCTGCACATCCTTTCCAGCCTGATCTCTCCATCTTGCCAATTGGTACAAGTCCTTCTCGCACTCTTGAGTGTCCAGCTTCCCATACAACTCAACATAGGCCTTCTACTTTGCTTTAGCTACCACCTCCTTTGCTCTACATTGCCTCTCTTTATATTCCCGTCTCTTCTGCAGTCCTCTTATTGTCACATTTCTTCTTGGCTAAACTTTTGCTTTGAATAGCTCACAGCACTTCACCATTCCATTACCAGGTTTCCTCATCATTTTCTGTCCAGAAGAGACACTAAGTACTTTCCTAGCAGTCTCTCTAATCACCATTGCTTTAGTATTGCTATAGTAGCCCAGTCATCTAGAATCTCTTACCACCCAGAGCTTTACCAGCTCCTCTCTGAACTCAAAATTCTTCCTTTCTCAGCTTCCACCATCTGGTCTCTGGCTTTACTCCTTCCCTCTTCTTCACCACAAAAGTCATTCAATACCCTTTGTCCACAATATCCCTCAGGTTACTGCTACACAGAATGTAATCTACATATGTACTCATGCATTCACTCTTATAGCTCACCTTTCATCCAGATCCTTCCTAATTTTCTTTTTCCCCCTCTATGTCACATCCAACATGTGGAGCATAACCACTGACATTATTCAACATCAGACGTCCTTCCTTCCTTCATCACCCTATCTGACATTATTTTCACCTCTACTACATTCCTTGCAAACTCCTCATTCGGGACCACCCCATATCCATTTCGCTTTCCATCCACACCATGATAAACTGCTTAAACCCTGCCCCAGTGCTACAAGTCTTGTTGCCCTTCTACTTGGTCTCTTGCGCAAATAATACATCTCTTCTTTCTCTGAATCCTGTCATCCAGGATACTACTTTTGCTGGTCATTGTTCCTTTGTATAGAGTTTCTACCTTCAGTCCAATGCTCGTTACTTCCGTCTTCTCCCTCAGTCTCCTGAGGTTTTCCTCCTTGTGGTCTCTGACTAACAGCACAATTTCCATTACCACCATTTGTCAGCAGCACCGGTGGTGATCATTTTTAACCTGGGCCTCGACCAATCATGTACGGTGATGCTTGGAAGAGTTCAATTTTTATTTTGCCAAAAATTATTATTAATATTATGTTTTATTATTTTATGATGGGTGCCCTTCCCGACACAACCCTCACTATTTACCTAGGCTTGGGAATGGCACAAGAAATAAACGGTCTTGTGCTCCTTAGTGGTTGATTTTTTTATTGTCCACCTGTAACTACCCCTAGTACTTGAATTAGTAAATCATACTATACTGAGGTGTGCTGGGCATGTTGGTACATGAGCATGGAAAACAACCGGCCCCAATAGGTTCCCAAATATTAATTTGTGTCAGGTAAATGATTGTACAGGTTTTAGAGCAGTGACATTGAACCTAGTTCTTTGAAAATCCAGCAGTTAAAACGCAAATACCGAAACGTTTTGACTTCAGGTGGTTTTTCTGAGAAAAGCTGAAAAACCTGTTAAGGGTGTCTGTGCTGTGTTTGTGTAGAAATGCTGCTTAGTTGATTTGAAATTAGGTTCAGTTTTTGGCATTCACCACATGCTCACACCTAAATGTTTTATTGATTTGTCCATTTCTATAAAAGTAAGAATCAAACAAAATGAAGTTATTTTTATAATGTTTTTCTTAACTGTAACATTAAAAACATTGACGATTATTTTTAAAAAGCCATAGGTTAGAGGTGTGAGGTTCAGTTTTACCCAGGAAACTGTTGCATGTGACTGATGGTTTCAGGCAGAGGCATTCCATAGCTCTCAGGCAGCAGGAGACTCAGCAACCCCGCCAGAGCTGTGAGGCTTCCCATCAGGATGTAGGGCAGCGAAACGGAGTAAGTTCCTGTGGTGGAACATCATACCAGGGGAGGACAGTGAAAAACAGCCTAGTCTACAATGGTGCTACAGAAGTGCTGCAAATAAAAAGACAAAAAGTAGTCTTGGAAAAAAAAACGAGTTGCAAATGAGGGCCTTAAGGGATTAAAGCTGTGTCTGAATGAACGGTTGTTTTATTTCTGTCGGGGGCTTTTCTACATTTTAATGTGCAACTTCCTCTCATTGCAAAGACAAGCAGGTTAGCTCACTAAGAATTATTTAAAAAGTGTGACTGAATTTTAAAACGGAGCAGGTGGTCCTCTTCCAATGTAGGAGAACTGGTAAAGAACAAACATTTTCAATGGAGACCATTAAATTATTCCTCACACAGCGACAGGAGGTTTGAACTAAACAACTGAAACAAATGGTGAGCTAAAAATAAAAGTTGTAAATGCAATCACAAAACATCCCTCATGCCGCTTTTCATTCTTATTGTTGACATTTACCAACACAAGTCAACATCATGTGCAAAGTAGCCTTAATTTGACATAATAGAAAGAAAGGCTAGAGCTTACTTAAGTAAATGAAATATGGTGCAATTATGCTGCCTATTCTGGAGGCCATGGAGCAGGCACCAACAGCTGTATTCCTCAGAACAGTTGGGTAGAGTTCTGCTGTGTAGGCGTACACAACAGCAAATGCTGTTGACACTGCAAACTTCCCCATCATCTCAAAAGTTGTGGACAGAAAAAACAAGTCTGCAGGGAAGGAAATGCACAACTGTTAGAGGGTAAACACGATTTAACGAATAGTCTGTCCATTTTTGAAGTGATCCTTGGCATATAGCTCTGGAACAGGACGCCACTTCAAAAAAAGAACAGACTATTCCTTTAACTTTATATTAAAGCCACAATTAAACATTGTTATTTGTCATACGTGCTGGTACAAGCTGTGTGATGAGCAAAAACACCCCTCCTGTGATGAGGGATGAGGACAGACTGAGCCGTCTGGAACACCAACGAAACATAACCCATGACAAAGCGTAGGCTGGAATCTCAACCAATGCTGACAGGAAACAGTTGAAGTAAGCGTTTCCATGGAGGTTTCCCGTGTTCAGGGACAGAGCAAAGTAGCCAATAGTGAGGGTGTTCCTACGGGAATAAATTTAACAGAGACAATAATACATTTATTTAGACTTAAAATAAAAACGACTTTAATTTCCTCCCCATGTCTTCCAGTGTGGTTTCCAGATGTTTGAAAAGACCCCGAGTGTGAGTGAGTGTGTGAGAGACCAAAATAAACTAACTTCAATGCATTAACAGTTTTAGGAGTAATAGAGACAAAACTAATCACACTCGCACCTAGGGACAATTTAGTTACCAATCAGTCTAAGATGCATGTTTTTGGTCTGTGGGAGGAAACTGGAGTACCTGGAAAAAACCCATGCATACACGGAGAGAACATGCAAACTCCACCCAAAAAGGCCCCAGGCTGGTATTTGATCCAGGAACCTTCTCGCCGAGAGGTGGCAGTTCTACCAACAGAGCCACCATGATGCCCACTTTTGCGAAAATCGAAAAGTCCTTATTTTGAATAAAGCAGATGCCATTTCCTGCATTCTGGTGTATTTTAACGGGTTGTTAATCATCTACTGTATGTTTACCTTCATAAGTAAACACTTGATTCAATAACTAATTTAGAGAGCACTGCACAAAATGTAGTCTGACCAACAGCTCACCTTGTGTGAACAGAGCGCACAGAAACAATGCATATGGTGTGGAGCTGGTTCAGGTAATTGAGATGACACATCTTTGCACAAACTCTGTGTGCATGTATTGCGAGTGCTCGAGTGTGTGAACACGTGCACAGTTGTACAGAATGTGACGGCAAGCTGGGACAGCGGAGACTCACCAGATCAGCCACAGCGTGAAAGAGATCCAGCGGATGTTTGGGAAACGTAGCAGGTCACAGATGCTGTGGGCCCTTGTGTCCTTTGACTTCACTTCATTCTGTGAGGCAGCAGAGCATGAAAAACAACAAACACCCAGGAAGCTGAGGCATCAGTCTAGAAGTGATTTTTTTTTTTTTAAACTGTCCTTTCGAGAGTTCATCCATTTGCTGAGTGATCCCGTGTTCTCGTGCAGATACTCAAATGGAAGCGAACTAAACTGAATATTTTTAAATGCTGCCAAAAGACTTTTCATTAAACAAGTTCACATACAGGCAAATCTTGATGAATTAAAGGATATTTTAATAGATCAAAATCTACCTGTACTTCTTTGTGTGGTTAGAATTTAAAAGTATTCCTACACATTCCTTTACAGTTTTGTTTCAAACATAATTTTTGCAGGTTTGGTCACATGACATTTAGGCCAGCTGAATAAAAACCACTATAGAGAGAGAGAAGTATTTGGTGTAAGATAATCAAAATTAATCACCTTCCTTTAACTTTCCTTTAACTACACACCGAGATACACAAATTAGGCTTTTATATATTTCTATTTTACAGCAGGAAAAAACATACTTTAAGGTAATAATGGGATTAAAAAGAAAAGTGTTTCATCATTAAAAACAAACTTACTTTGATTCTTGTTATGCAATTAAAATCTTACACTTCAGTTTCAGCCAGTTTAGGTTTTTAAATCTTTGACTTCTCAAAGATTTTGCATCGTCCTCCGTTTATTGTTTAAGCTACTGTTGTGTAAAACCAGAAATTCATTAATCATCCATTTAAAACCCAAATTAACTATTTGCCAAGTTTACCTGTAACAAAGAGAAATGTGTAAAATATCTTAATGTCTACCAACAATGTTCCTGTGATTGTGCACTCGTGCAGAAAACAAACAAAATTATCAGAGCAGTGGACTATGAGAGGTTTATCCTGCTCAACTCCACAACTGGTAGGTAAAAAAGTTTCTAATTAAAACTTAATGTGCTCAGAGAGGAAAATGTCACAGAAAGAAAGTACTTTTTTTTTTTTTTTTTTTTTTTTTTTTTTTT